CCCATATTTTGTCCCAGGCACGTCAACTCTGGTCTTTTTTAAATTTTTGTTGCCAAAACGGTACCACTCCGTCAATAGTTAACAGTCTTCCACAGTGAACGTTACTCGTTATTTTTTATTGGGAGAAAATTACAAATTTGGTCCCAAAACTTTTGTTGTTTCCTACAATTGGTCCCAGGTAGTTCGGGAAAAAAAATCGAACGTTCCAAAATTAATAATCATGCGAAATGAAACTCTCGTCTTCCCCGGTTATCCACAAAATTAAACTCAAATCCGAAGACATGGTCCCCACAAGATGAATCCATACAAAACAAAAACTCGTCCCGAGTCATTCGACGCATTATTTACTCGATTCAAACTCCATTTTTCCAAAATACACGTGTAAAAAGCTATAGATGGTCTACTCTAACATATAATAAGCAAATAAAAACGAAACCACATAGCCAACTCCCCATTTTTTTTCTTTTTCTCTTTTTTTCTTTAATATGTGAGTCAATTTTTCCAAATGAGAGTCGTTAGGACGATTATTACCTAGGTTTATCCTCGGAGTTTGTCCCCGAATCTCCCAGTCTGGTTTCCCATACTCATTGCCCCCGATTTATCTCAAAAGAGACTAACCGGGTCAAGCAAAGTCTAATCCTTTCAACTCTCATAAGTTCATTTTTATTCATTTTTTTTTTTTTCTGTGAGCTTCTTTTTCCAAACGAGATTTCCGGACAATGATTATCTAGGTTTAGCCTCGAGGGGTTTCTCGAGTTTCCTCGACCTGTTTTTCGGGATAATTATCTCATTTCACGAAGTGAATCGAAATAAGAGGAGTCTAATCCGTACTTCCTCGCGAACTAACATTTTATTACTATTTTTTTCGAAGGGAGCGACACACAAAGATACATCACGATACAATTCATTAACATCAACAATCAATCAAGACGTACCACAAGTATATAGCATAACACGATTATAAAGATCGAACACAAGGCAAGAATGTTTCAAGATCACCAATCGAGAACAAACAAGGGAAAAAAACAATTTCGTGAATTCAAATGTGAGTTCCAATGCCAACAAATCATCATTTACTTTTAAGGAAACCATCTAATTCATCAAGTACATAACGCATGAAAATTAACAATGATACCGAACGACAATCTTAACTCACTGCTTAGCCATCTTGGATTTAAACAAACATCAAGCTTCATGTGGGGAAATCGACATAAACACAAAAAACAACAACAAAAACCGGTCCACGACACGATAAATATGAAAAATAAAGCACCCAAAATGAAAGAAATACCACCTAAGCATGCATGATAACAAAAATCCCTCTCCCACACTTAAAACAAAGCAATGTCCTCATCGTTTGACCGAAGAGCATAAGATAAACCACATAATCACACAACCTCATGCGAGAAAAAATCGAAAAACAATAAATGAAAATAAGAAAAAAAAAACAAGAACGAACACAAGCAAAGAAACAAGAGAAAAAAGAAAATAAGGAAAAGAAAGCACATATACTACACGGTGGTGTACCACATTATGTCCAATGGTGTTCTTCGGGTGGAAATAGAGAAAATAATCCGAAAATCCTCGAGTGTAAAATAAAGTCATCCGAACAATTGTACAATGAAAGTATATCGATCCATAAGCCAACCGCACACTATGACATTTGAAAGCATAAGAGAGGTCAAGAATCCCTCCACCCGGCCTCGGTTAAGGGCCACATGTATACGTCTCGGAAAAATGATAACGGTGAATCCACAAACTCGACGAACACACAAGTATGCTTGAAAGATCAAAAATTGGGCCCGAAGCAGCCAATAATATTCCTCCGGGACCAAATGTGGGAAACAACAAAAGTTTTGGGACCAAATTTGTATTTTTTTCAAAATTAAAAATATTGACTTACGTCTTAATGAATAAGACTGTTAAAGTCTTGACGAAGTGGTACCATTTTGGCAACGAAAAATAAAAAAGGACCATAGATGGCGTACCTGAGACCAAATGTGGAAAACAACAAAAGTTTTAGGATCAAATTTGTAATTTTCTCTGAAAAAAATATATAAATATTTTCTTTTTTCAAAGAGATATGTCTTACTTAGAAATTATTTAATTTAATTACAAATAATTCAAGTTTGCAAAATCTATTAACATAATAGAGACAATGATATTTACCTGAAATAAACAAAAAATCAGCAAAAAAACATTTGCTTTCCCGCCTAAACTTTTAGAATTACTACTTACAACATGATTGGTATAATGGAATGGAATTTAATAAGAATGGAATGAATTGAAAAATGTAATGAATATGGTAAAGGAATGAACCAGTTTTTAATCCATGTGTTTGGTATGCATAAGGAATAAGACCGAAATGAAATGACAATATCATTTTATATTGTCATTTATCACAATTTTACATAAAAAAAAATAATTTGTAAATCCAATGTCGCATACCCAGACGAAAACTAAGCACCCACTCGCGAGCCATGTAACAAGCTGCACCAAGTAAGAAGTGTAGAACAATTAGTTCGTAAGGACCTTTCGAGTGTAGGAGTTAAAAGCAAATTCGTTCGTAAGGACCTTTCGAGTGTAGGAGTTGCTAAAAGTCAAATTCGGGAAAAAGAACTGATTGTGTGGGAAATACTTCAGGAAGTTATGCATGGACATACTGTATTACTTAATAGAGCATGGGCTTTTCTTCCTGGTGCTTCCTTTCATGCGCTTCGTTTCTATTGAGATAATAAATCACCTTCGTTGGCATGAATTTGGCTGGTGCTGTGCCAAGTAAGAAGTTGTTTAAATTAATGTTACTTTTTTATTTACGATAATGATAAAATTATTTTATAATAAAAATGATTTTAAATATTTAAATTTGAATGTGGATGTGTGTTTTGATCGAGCACGAGGGCGAGTAGGCGACATGCGATCCATATAGCAGACCCCATTTAGTGAGATTTTAACGGGTTGTTGTTGTTGTATGAGTATTTAATATATCTAATTAAATTATGAACTATAAATAAAAATATGTTTTTTAATTTTTCATTTGAAATTTATTTTCTATACTTATTTTATTTAATATAATTGAATCATAATTCATAGTATATATTATATATTTATTTATTATTATTATTTTTAATATTATTTTTTGAGAAATTGATTCATATGCATAGGGGAATGGGAAAAATCTTGCATTTGTTGTGAATGACTAATCCCATGAAGATGGGTTTTGCAATTCAATTGGAATGGTCATTTATTTCCAAAAAATATATCACTCATGGGATAAGGAATAAGTAAGGAAATAGACATTCTATTTTCATTTCATTCCATCGTACCAATCATGTCATTGTAGTAATTGTTTTGGCAAAAATTCAAAATATCCCACCTCTACAAAATATGTTTGAATCTTTAGTTATTCCAAATAAATTACAGATTTTGTGCAATTTGTTTGAATTTTACGGTTATTACAAAAAAAAAAGATTTTATTAATGTATATCGGATGTCATTTGTAAAAAAAAAATAGATTTTTTTTTTTGTTTTTGTTTTTTGAGTTGCCAATTGATAAGTTTCCTTGCAATATTTATAGGTCTTTAATTGGCATAAAGAATTGCCAAATCAAAGACTTTATTTGAAAGGTTAAATTTATTTTCATATTAAATATAAATATCAATTTTTTCATTGTAAATTTTGGTTTATAAAATTTATAATTTGTTTACCAAATATGACATTCCAATTTATTCAGAAAAAAAAATATTAATCATAACATGATACAATTTCAATTACATCTTTTGTTAGTGACATAAAATTATTACACAAACTTGCAATTTTTTTTTTAAAAGTAAAATAGTAAGATTATTCTTACCGATATACTTCCCATAATATTAAACACTTTCAACACTTTTCTGAAAGCAAATTTGAATTATTCTGCCTTTTACTCTATTTGAAGTTCAGAATTATTTTTGTAAGTATATTCATAAACATTATTATTTATTTTTTTCTTATGTGATATAATCTAAATTTGGTTATTAGATTTTTAAATTCAAACATTTAAAGGAAAAGATCACGGACAGATTTTTTGGTCATTTCATTTTATTTTAACTTCCATATAATCAAGTTCCACTACAAAAGTTATAAATTTTAGCGGCAATTTATTTTAAACTTAGCGGCGGTTTTGAACCGCCACCAGCACATTTACCAGCATTTACAAAACTGTCGCCTATACAAGTGTCGCAATTATTTTAGTAGCGGTTTTCCAAAACCGCTGGAAAAAGTGAAGCTATATATTCAACCACAATGAAAGAATTTTTTGCAACATTAGTTAGCAGCAGTTAAAAACCACGTCTAACTGTAAATATAGTGACAGTTTTTAACCGCCGCAATCAATATATATGCTTTTTTCGTGGCAATTTTCATAACCGCCACTAACATTTATCCCCGATTAAACTAAAATAACAATAGCATTATTAATTCCTGCATATTCCATCATCCAATTTATTATAGATACAAGATTATTATAAGTCAATTGTCTAAACAAAATATCACGATTTACTTTAACCAATAATATCATCAAACATTTGAACAATCTACATGAAAAGCCAATACACATTTGTCCAATTTTAGAAGTCGATCACCTTAGTTAACAAAATTCACCAACAAAAGTACATTCGCCCAAAACAAAAGCCCTAGTTAGAGTCCAAAAGGAAACGAGTAAGAACCCTAAGTTACATCACCGACTAGATGATGAATCTCTTCTTTCATTCTTCGATGAAGGTGGATGAGTACTTCTTTCATCCGAAGGTCCCTGCATTTCAAATAAGAATGTAGATTTTAGTTATGCAACTCTAAAGATTTTAACAACTTATTTATAAAAAACACAATTAATAAACATATATACTTTAGTAAGAATTACTCACAATTTTTGATGTTTGGGTTAGCCAACTAGCAAATTGTTCGGGTATTTTTCCAAGTGCATTCTCGAAAATTGTAGCAAGAGCCCCACCTAGATTCTTTTTCATATCTTCCATTTGTACATTTTGTGCTTCCAACTGAAGACTTTGAGCTCGCAATATTGATTTCGTAGCAGCCAACTCTTTTTCCATGCTAGCAACATAATCTCTCATTTGACCATTATTAGACGATGATCCAAATCGACATCCAAATGCAATAGTCGGACATGGTCCAAAACCTGCCCCACGAACACGACCTGCGTGCTCCTTTCCAAAAACCCTACCAATAGGGTCATCAGGTAAAGCAAACTGAAACTGGGAAGAACACGAACTTCGACTCATTTCCCGTATGATTTCATCCTATGAGTGACAAAAAGAAAATATCATTATTTGTAATCTCTTTTTTACCATAAAACCACAAGACCCACAGTGCCTCTAAAAGCTTGGGGTTTGTGTAGCAACACACAGAAAGAAGGAAAAGGGGATCGAAGGGGACCGGTGGCACTAGAATTGAATGTGTATTATTCTGTCCAAAGCAATTTAATTTAAAGAGTGATTGAATCCATAACAGGAAAATCAGACGCACATCTAATTTAAAGAGTGATTGAATCCATAACAGGAAGATCAGACGCACATCGCTAACTTTCTCATACTATTAGCTATTAGAAACTAGGACGGGTTAAAATTTAACGAGATGATAAGAGTATTGAAAACTTTACCCAAACAACCATCAGAAAACGAAAATACAAGTTTACTACTTAATTGGGTACTAACAATACAAACGTAGCGCACACGGTAAGTATGAAGTACTCACAAACTGCTATTTTTCATCCTGTCAAAATGATATTTTCTTGAAAAATCCCCAACCAGTTGACTAGGTGAACAATGACATGCCAACACAAATAAGGATTTGTCTCTGTTTTCCTTTATATAACGTATATGCTAATGTGAATTGACGTAAAAACATGCCTGATTTAGATAAAAAGTTGAAATATGTAACAATAATGTGCAAACTCTGTGAGGCTGTGAGGTGCAAGTTCTACAGGCTTATGGTATACCTTGCCCACAATTATGAATATTCCTCAGTTTTTTATATATTTTCACCTGAGCATTATATATGGCACACGATTTCATCCATTCACATCCTAATTGTGCATGTTTTCACTATTTCTGTAGCGGTCATGTTATAGCAATTTAATGTTCATTTATAATACCATACCTCAATACCAAACCAAAAATCAAAGAAGTGCTCTCTAGAAAAAATATTAGGGAGAGGAAGAGAAAAAATTATTAACTCACAGATTTATTTTTAGCTTCATCATTAACATACGTCCCGTCTTGTCTTTTGTGTGTATCAAGCCATAGTTCTGAGCGATTGACCTTACGCCCGAGTTCATTTTCCTGAAATGATAATTACATCATCTATTAGTACATTGCGTTTACAAGACAATAGACGTGAAATAATCAACTAAAATAAAATAATCAAAATACCATTTCAGCTCTCCTCCTAGCAAAACTTTTAGATCCATTAGTATGTGGGATTTTTTGACACTTTCTACTTTCAGCATTTCTCCGACACATCTCCTAATAATACATAAAAACAAATTATTACATGATGCAACGTACATAAAAATTAAATTTAAATGCATTACCTTTGACTTTTCAGATAAACGATTAATAACAAAAGTTGACCATTGATCTCGATGGATTCCAGCGGGACAATTGCTTATTAATTGTTCTCTGGTGATTCAAAGATAAACAAACAAAAATTCTTAGTTCTCAGAGATTTAGACTGCCTTTACTCACTTAAACTTATATGCTAAAGAAAAGAAAAAGACACTGCAATGAATCAACTTCAACCTTGTCAAAGAAGGGTCATAAAATTCTACCCATAATGTGGACTTGTGATTACTCCACTTTCTCCCGATATTGCTAAGAATCCACCGTTTTGCTATCTCGACATTTTCAAAGTGAAATTTTGGCTTCAAAATAAGACAGGAAACATGATTACTCATATTGGAAACTTAACATTTTCAAAGAATATATTTTCCAGTAATTAATGCTATATTTACCATGAGTGATTTGTTGAATATATCATCTTTATATTGACCTGGCACTTTTCTCCAGTCATCATAGTTGATCGGAAATGAAGAAGCCTGCCTTGCTAATTCTGATAGTACACCGGACAACAATCCAGCTGCATCCAAGGTGGGTGCTTGCATACTATCGAATGGAACCATGACTCGCTCACCCGAAGGAAGACTCCAAACGTCAATTGTTTTCATCTTTTTTTTCTTCACAACTCCTTCTTCATCTGAAGAAAATTTAACAAATATTAATATTTTCAAATGTACTTTTATCGAAGGAATATAATATAATATAATAATTCATACTTATCACTTCAACTTCCCATGCAGTTCTTCCCTTTTTCCTAGTTGATGAAGATTGGTCCTGAAAATTCTTATAGTTTCCACTGGATATTTCCTCAACAGACTCGCTAACTTGTTGCTCATTACGTACACTTTCATCAGGCATTGGCACTTCATTCTGAAATCTTTGTTCTTTAGTTTGAGTGTTGGAAGATGCCTGGGATTGTTCCGATCCTAGCATTCTCTTATTCAAATTTCTTTTAAACCTTGGCATGTCTGCAGCAAACAAGGAACATGGAAAAATTATAGTGGATGAATTCAAATATATATATATTTGAACCTTAAACTTAAACTTAAACTTTTAAGGAGGAAGACCAAACTTTTAATCTTAAACTTTTAAAATTCTAACCTTATTTGTCTTTTTGTTGCCTTTTGATCATTGCTCTAACTTGATGGGATAATATTTTCTGACAAGCCTGCCTGACCTGAGGTGATCTTGGTGCGGAGTTGCCGATTGAAGAGGTTCTTCTGGTGCAGGTTATTAATGAGGCTACGTCTGCATATAGTTTTTTCATTGTCGAACTCTTATGGTTATGTGAAAAATCAAAAGAGGAAAATGTACCCTTGAATGCTATTATAACAGTGAATTAACATGTCTTGACTAGTTGATTATTGCATACTCAAATCTATCTATCCATCAGCACCATCTTTACCTCAAAGTTTATAACCTGATCTTTTCTGATGGATATATCCCTTTTCACAGCACTCTTCTTTTGCCGGCTACTGATGACGACTTTGACTCGCCTTACTTCTAAACCTGCTGCTTATAAGGACACATCCATGTAAAAAGACATATAGGGACATATAAGGCATATAAGGACACAAAACAGGAAAAACTAAAATCACTTGTACTTGTACCTGATATGGAGCAAATTTTGCACTTGCCTTAGTGGCTCTTAATGGCCCTAAATAATCTGAATCTTCTAAGAACAATTAATTCAGCTAGTCATTCACGATTCTAAAAAAAAAAAAAGAATAAGCAATGTTAGCATAGAAATCGTGCAATTTATCATATAAATGAATGATAATTAAATGATAAGAACATGACTGTAGGGATAAATTAACATAAAGTAAAAACTGGATCATAATTAATGTGTAATGAACACAACTTAACCAGTTTTATCCATATTATTCACATCGTCTACATTCTCAACTATATGGGTTGCTTCATCATCCATTTTGTCCCTTGCTAAACACAGATTTTCAATGTCATTTGAAAATATAATGTCTTGTTTGTCGACAGAAAACGGGGCAATCTCATGCATACAATTGTATTCATTTCCCCCCATATCAAAAGAATCTCTTGGTTTACAAGGTATTGCAACACTCCATTCTTTATCCAACTCATTGGTAACATAAAACACCATCTGAGCTTGGACAGGTAAGATGTATGGTTCGTCGTCAATACTATCTCCTATATGTATTCTGTTGGAAAAGTTAACCTCCGTGAACCCAAAACAATCTTTTCGTATTCCTCTAGAAGTAGTTGTGTTAGCCCATATACACTTGAATAGTGTAACAAAAAATCTCCCGTAGTAGTTGAGTTCAACAATGTCGATCAATTTTCCATAATAAGCAACATCCCCAACTACCCCATGGACATCACGGCTACTTGCAACACTTGGAGTTCCAGCAAACAAAAATACTCCACTATTTTGTGTCTTTAACCCTTCTTCTCGGTTCATTGTTCGAAACCTTAAACCATTAATGTTATACGAGGAATATCTTCTAGCATGATCAAGTGGCCCTCTTGCTAAAAACTTAATATCATCAGACACTTCCTCTAAGCCATCAATGTTCATCATCTGAAATTCAAAAACTAAAATTAGTAACATTTATATTTGTATATAACATTTTTTATAAAGTGTAACACTTACTCTCCTCGAAAACCAACTAGCAAAATCTCTATTAACAACTTTTTGAATTTCTGCTGATGCTCTTGTACGACTTCTTAGTCGTCTCTTTGTCAAATTTTCAAATTCCCTATGAGATAGAAATGTTTACATTAAAGTCTTTATTACGAAAAAAGTAAATTTATAATAATATATATTCTTGTCAAGAATCACTTACTTAATGTATTCATCAACCAGCCCACTATTCATCAGGACATATCTATGTGCTTGTTGTTTCTCTAAATCACCCAACAGAAAAACTGAACCACTACTTACCGGTCGACCAATTTTTTGGAAAATGCTATTTTGAGTTTCAAAATGAGCTGGTCCATCATTAACACGAGGGGGCCGATTAAATCTTGTCTCGATTCCATCTAAATACCTTGAGCAAAAGGTAAGACATTCCTCTGCAATATAACCTTCAGCTATGGAACCCTCTGGTTGAGATCGGTTTCTTACATGAGACTTTAAATGTCCCAAATATCTACACGATAAAAAAATGAATATATAAAGAGTTATGTGAAATATTTTAATTTTCTTATGAATACTTACCTCTCCATGCTGCACATCCATCGGTATGGAACAGGACCTCCAAGCTTCACCTCATCAACCAGGTGAACAATCAAATGCACCATGACAGTGAAAAATGATGGTGGGAACACCATTTCCATTTGACAAAGGGTTAGAACAATACGACTTTGGAGGTTATCAAGTTGTTGAGTGCTTAGAACTTTAGAACACAGTTGTTTGAAGAAATTACCCAACTCCACTAGAATAACACAAACTGGATTCGGTAACAAGTTTCGGACAGCAATTGGCAACAAATTTTCCAAGATGATATGACAATCATGACTTTTTAGTCCATGAATTTTTCGGTTTCGTATATCGATACAACTAGATATGTTGCTTGAGTAACCATCTGGGAGTAATACATTATTTAGTGTTGCAAGGAATATATCTTTTTGAGCATTTGACATTGAAAAACAGGCTGGAAGATATTTTTCTTGCTCATTAGGCCAAAGATCTCGTCTTATACCCATCACCTCTAAATCTTTCCGAGCACTTAGATTATCTTTTGATCTGAAATGGTCATTAAGTAAAGTATACAATATATTGTCAAAAACATTTTTTTCAATATGCATGACATCAAGATTATGGCGTAACAAATTGAATTCCCAATAAGGGAGCTGGAAGAAAACACTTTTCTTTTTCCACTGTTGCACTTCAGTTCGAATTCCTCGTAATCGTTTCCGCTTTTTATTCATTCCTGAATCTTTACCAAAGGTAACATGAATATCTGCAACTTGACTTAAAACATCAGAACCTGATAAATATTTTGGAGGATTTCTCAATTCTTCATGACCATCGAACTTAGCACGATTATGCCTATATGGATGAGTAGACTCCAAGAAGCGTCGGTGACTCATGAAACACCATTTTTTACCATGAGGAAGGCGAAATGGTGAAAAGTCAAAGTTACAAGAGGGGCATGCTAGACCTGTATGTATATTCCACCCTGATAAGTTGCTCAGCCCAGGGAAATCACTAATGGTCCACAATAATGCCGCCCGCAATCTAAAAAATTGATTTTGTGAGGCATCAAATGTTTCTAGTCCATCTCGCCACAATTCATTTAACTCTTTAACTAGAGGCTGCAAGTAAACATCTATGTCATTTCCAGGCAACTTTTTTCCAGGAATAATCATAGACAAAATGAAGGAAGTTTGTTTCATGCACATCCAAGGAGGCAAGTTATACGGAATTAAAATCACCGGCCAAGTGCTATGGGTAGAACTTTGATATCCGAATGGGTTGAAACCATCAGTAGCTAACCCTAATCGAACATTTCGCGGATCAGCAGAAAATTCTACATGTCTTTCGTTAAATTGTCTCCATGCTCTAGAATCCCTAGGATGTCTCATTAACCCATCCCCACTAATATCCGCAGCATGCCATCTCATATATTCAGCTATTTTAGAAGACATGAACAATCGTTGTAGCCGAGGCTTAAGAGGAAAGTAACGAAGAACCTTAGCAGGCTTTTTTTTTCTTTTTGTCTTACCAATTGACAAGTTTTCACTTCTCTGTTTGTCTTGCTTCCATCTTGAAGTGTTGCATACCTTGCATATTTCCTCATTTTTATCCTCCCCCCAATATAACATGCAATCATTCGGACATGCATGAATACATGTATAATTCAAACTGAGTTTGTTTATAGTTTTTTTAGCCTCATAAAATGAATCAGGCAATCTTGCCTTTTCAAATGCATCTTTTAATAGTTCAAAAATCATGGACATTGCTTTATTACTTATTCCACATAAACACTTGATGTGATACAACTTCAATAAAAATGACAGTTTCGTGTACTTAACACACCCTTCATACAATTCTGCGTTTCCATCTTTCAGCAATTCATAGAATATCTTACTTTCATCACTACCCTCGCTACCCTCGCCACCTGATGTGTCACTAACCTCACCAGGTAGTACTCCATCCTCATTTACCATTTTATCTGACGAGTAAGGTTCATTTATACCATGTGATACATGTGCAAAAGCATCATGAATAAGGTTCAGTACAGAATTTTTATCTTGCACATTAATATGGACATCAACAGAAGAAGAATTAGAAGTGGGCGAAGTAGAAGTGGGTGCAGGCCCACCTTCACCATGCCAAACCCAGTGAGTATATCCAGGCAAAAAACCATTGCAAAGCACATGCTCTTTCACTTCAAATTTATCTATCCATAATCTGAACTTGCATTTTACACAAGGGCACAATATATTTCCATCAACAGATTGATGCTCAAGTGCAAACTCAATAAATTTATCCAATCCCTCTACAAACTCAAGTGTATTTCGTGGCAACTTAATCCAAGATTTATCCATGAAGAAACACTTGATAGTTAAGAAAATTTTCCTGAACAAACTGAGCATGGATTATATTAGGAAAGAACAAGATAAAATCATAATTTTGTTACAATGAGAAGTTTATATGACAGACATAAATTCATTTGGAGCATATGTGTTTAAAGTGGTATTAGTGTTGTAGTTGTTAATACAAGTGCATTGACTTAGTAAAATTATGATGTGTTTTTAATTCTAAATGAAGTGGAAATTAATACAATAAGTAAGATACAAAAGATAATCTTGCTAAGACAAATTTCCAAGTAAAGTGAGGCTGAATGCACAATATCTAGCCACTGATCAAGCATTCCAGGATGATACTAGAAAACAAACAATAGAAACACAGAGCGGAACTTCCAAGAATGCAAAAGTAGCTTTAGTGTAAAACTTAATAATACCTTGGGTCTTTGCCTCCAGAAATAATTGGAAAACACGTTCAAATGCAGTTCTGAAAACTCTTGTGGATTTTTCTTTTCTGAAAGTGGAACAGAGTAGACACGATGCCACGGTTCATGTGCTCAAAAATATTTCAATAACTGAAATGCCAGGAAAATAGTTGAAATTTCAAATAAAAGACATGTTATCAAATAAGATTCGTTTCTAGGGAAACGATTTTTATTGCTCCAAATATTATATGGAAAGAACAATAAGGAAACAGTAATGTGGAGATGACAATACGAAAAAGATAATTTTACGAAGTCTTAGAATTGAGGAAAAATTAATCTATCCTAACTCAAATAGGACCCTAGTCAGGGTTGATAATTTTCAGCTCCAATACTCATATCACTGTGTCCTTAGTCAGATCGGTTATTCAAGAAACTGAGCGACTTTTATTTTGTAACATTTCCTTCCTGTTTAATGACCCAACACGGCCAAGTGATCTCAGCCATAAAACACTTAACTGGATGCTAAATCAGTCACAAACCACAACAGCAAATCCTCATTTAGACATGACATAGTCTCAATTTTGTCTTCTGATAAAGAGCATTCAACAGTTTCCTATATATTATTGAAGACTTCATATCATGATATTCAAACAGGCACTATATTTTATTTTTGTTCTTTGCATTCTATTTTTACATCATAACTATCACCGAGTTTCGTAATAACACAACAACAACATATGCTTCCACTAACAACTGAAGCTAGCAAAACAGTAAAATTCCAAAAAAAATCCAAGAAAAAGGCACTATTCTCATGATTGTGGGCAATGAAAACACATCTCCTAAATATCTAATGCCTAATACTAAGTGAAATCTCTTGTTATTTGAAATTTCATGCTTACGCCATGGTGGGAACAAGGAAAAACCAGAAATATGGAAAAACCAACATATACTCCCATAGCTTGATAGCAAATCGGTCATTAGAAAACACAACTACGATAAATGATTGATAACAATTCTCCAAATGGAAACAAACATAGAAGAAAAAATTGAAATTAATAAACCTAAGAAAGAAATCGACGAAAAACGAAGAAAAATACATACAAAAATCTAAAATATCCTAAATCTAGGTTTACCGGTACATAGTTCGAGCAATTGAGCCTGAGCCTCGATCGATTGTACAATTTTTTTGTTGAAGAAGGGTAGTAATCTAGGGTTTATACAAAGCAATTGAGCCTCGAGCGATCGTAGAATTTGAGTAGATTTCTGCGAGTTGGAGAAAAGAGGGATGGTCTAATTTTGAGGTGATGGGATTTTGAGAGAGTTGGTGGATTCTGCGAGTGGGAGAAAAGAGGGATGGTCTAACAGGTAAGTGTATCAATTAAATATTTGCTAATACATTCATATATTAATATTATATTGTAACATACTTTTGTGGCGGTCAACGAAACTGCAGCAAAATACTCATTTACGGGCAGTTATTAAAAACTGCCGCTAATTGTTTGCAGCTAACAGATGTCTTATTTGTAGTGTTCCTTACAAACTAATTAGTATAATATTTTTTATCTTCATTTATATAGTCAAATTTTTTAAAATATAATTAATATAATATTTTAACTAATTAATTATTTGTTTAACGTGATTTATCTCATTAACAAACTTGCAAAATTTTTTTGAAATTAAAATAATTTGGATGATTTTGATTTGTAAAAATAAAAAAAAAAAATAACTTTACTTTAAAATCTGGATTCTTTCAATTACTTTTTGTATATTAACAATCATATATTGGATAATTGATTTAAGAAAAAAAAAATCAAAACCGTAAGGTTTAATAATATTCCTTAAATTAAAAAAATTGTATAAAAGAAGTGCTTAATAATATATGTTTTTCATTGTTTGTACTTATTTTATTTCCATAATGAGATGAGATGTGAAAAATATAAAGAATTATATTTAAAATAAGTCTAAAAAAAATTTAAAATATGAGCTCCTCCGTGCATCGCACGGGATATACCTAGTAAGAAAAAAAATATATATTCTTATGCCAAAATGTATCGGACTGCAATAGTTAGGGATTGTTGTTAATTGGTGATTGATGTAATATGGCATGTGTTATAGGAAATGTTGATATAGTTGATAGATATATAATATAAATTGTATGACTTTATAAATTACACATTTTTTATTTATTTATATTGGAATGTAACGTTTGTCGAACAAATTATCACATATGATTTCATCTCTTTTTACATAATATTGGTAAATGTATGTTCATGTCATATGGTTTGTGTAATAATTTTATGTCATTGACAAAAGATGTAATTGAAATTATATCATGTTATGATTTATAATTTCTTTTTCTAAATAAATTGGAATGTCACTTTTGGTAAACAGATTATAAATTTTTTAAATCAAAATTTACAATGAAAAAAAATTGATATTGATATTTAATATGAAAATAAATTTAACCTTTTCAAATAAATTCTTTGATTTGGTAATTTTTTATGCCAATTAAAGATCTTTAAATATTGCAAGGAAACATATCAATTGGCAATGTCAAAAAATAAAAAAAAAAAATAAAAAAAAAAAACTATTTTTTTTTTTACAAATGAAATCCGATATACATTAATAATTTTTTTTTATTTTTTGGAATCCCGTAAAATTAAAACAAATTGCACAAAATCTGTAATTTATTTGGAATACCTAAAAATTCAAACATATTTTGTAGAGGTGGGATATTTTGAATTTTTGCCAAAAAAATTACTATAATTGCATGATTGGTACGAGGAATGACATGAAAATAGAATGTCCATTTCATTACTTATACCTTATCCCATGAATGATATATTTTTTGGAAATGAATGATCATTCCAATGTGAATTGCAAAACCCATCTCCATTAGATTAGTCAATCCACAGCAAATGCAAGATTTTTCCCATTCCCCTATGCGGATGAATCAATTTCTCAAAAAATAATAATAACAAATAAATATACAATATATACTATAAATTATGATTAAATTATATTAAATAAAATAATTCTAAAAAATAAATTTCAAATAAAAAATAAAAAAAAAAATTATTTTTATTTATTGTTCATAATTTAATTAGATATATTCTGTGATTCACCAGATCACAGAATCTGACATAGTATATATCTATCGTTTCTTCATATTGCATTCTGATTTCATCGAATTTAAGAGTTATTTGTTGAAGTCTGGACGCTTTGACTGTCGTTGAACCTTCAAACTGGCCTTGTAGAACTTGCCATGCATCTTTCGCTGTCTTGCAGTGAATTATCTTCTTGTGTCGTATCTGATCAACCGCCATTATGATCGCATAGAGGGCTCGATAGTTCGCCTCTTCTTAAAGTTTTTCGGCGTCAGTACAGAGATCCTTTGGTTTAGGAACCGCAGCCGAAAAAGTTCATCTTCCTTGATCTAGTGCCTCTGGCATGACATGATGTTCCCAGTCATTTTCGACACTTTCTCACACACCTTTTCTAAGATATCTTAGAAAAATCGCCATCATAGATTTCCATGAGGAATAGTTTGAACCATCCAATTGCGGAGGTCTAGATATTGATCCACTTTTCTGATTCATGATTGCCAATCCACAAGTCTTTAGATCTTTCGCAATGTGCACGAAAACTGACACTGGTGCCAAGTGAAGTTGCATATAACTATACGAAAACTACCAGAATCGCGCTTATCAAATAACTAATTAAACTGAGAAAGCTCAAATAATTGCGGAACCGGAATTTTTCAAAATTGAACCTTCAGAAGAGCGTCCCACTCTCCTTTCGGATCTCTTTCATTAATGTAGACATCACTAACATTATTCAAGGGTTTACAATGCAGACTCCCTCTACACTCTACTTGAATAATAATCTACACCACTACTTATCCGACCACATATCCCTTATGGTTTTTCTAGTTTGACTGCCTCAAAATAGATCAGAGTGAACCTCCGAACACTCTGCTACAATTCAAAACATCTAACTCAATCATGATCAAGAAAACTTTCTTGATTCAACACTCAATAAAAATAAAAACATACGATCGGGATATTTTTTACTCATACGAAAGATCGTTTCTTCTCAAAGATAATAATCTCGATCAACTCTTCCTTCACAATTTCTCACTTAAATCAGGATCCGATATGGTAAGTGAACCTATCTTGGCTTCCAGGCCAAGCTCCATAGGTAAGATCCTTATTT